AGGGAAAGCTGAGTGACAAAGGGCAGGAGCAGGCTGGCTGTCTCCAGGTACTTATTGGGGAACAAGGCTGGCTGGTCCACTGTGCTAGAGCCCAGCGCCTTCAGGGTGAGGCTTACAGTAGAGTCAGGAGCCCTAAAAGGGCTCTGTAACCTGGTTAGAGCAGGGCAGAGGCCTGGCTGACGAGAGGCTGTCCTGGCTGGAAGAACTATGCCCTGAGCATTTCTGACCCTGACTTGTAACCTCCTCACTCCCTAGTAAGCCTGGTCACTGTCAGCATGTGGCTGAGTTCTGTGTGGCCACAGCAATGAATTATCAAGCCCAGCTGAGCAGAGAATGGTGTGGGGTAGACTGTGAGTGTCCGAATCAGTAGGGAGGCTGGACGGTACTTTTTCAGACCTCTCAGTTTGTCTTGAGCTTAAATGCTGGGTTCATGTCATATCAATAGTAGAGGCAGTGAGCACTACAGAATGTGTTAAAATTGTAATTGATAATATTCTAAGGGAACAGAGTTCTTCGTGCTCTATGCTAAGATTTGCTAATAGTGACAGTATTAATGATACACAAGTGAATGCATCTCACAGGAAGGAAGAACTCTGATGAAGAGAAAAATACACGAGCCTTCTTCTGGAAGATTCACTTCTCATTTAGTTTAAGTCTGAGCCCATTGACCAAAAATGGCCTCAAGACCACAGAGGACAAGAGTAAAGTTATCAGTCATTTGCTTTATGAGAAGGATGTAACAATCTACTCCTGTCAGCTAGAAAGCACAACTGTGTTCCCTGCTGAAGATCACCAAGAATTTAATAACATGCAAATACAGACCAATACAAGTTCCAGCAAAGGTGAGAGGACAACTGACTGAGATCAAATTGTTGTTGTTAAGTGCCTTCCAGTCAGTTCCGAACTCACAGCGACCCTGTATAGGGTTTCTGAGGAGCCGCTGGTGCGTTCGAACTGCACACCTGCAGTTTAAACCAACCTTGAGGTCTCATGCTTATCCGATGGCACCAACACCAGGATTCCAAATAACAGATTTGTTGTTGCTGTTAAGTGCCATCGAGTCAGTTCCAATCCATAGCGACCCTGTATAGGGTTTCCGAGGAGCAGCTAGCTGGTGAGCTTGAAATGCCGACCTTGCAGTTCAAATGACTTTGCAGTCTGACACATTAACCCATAGTGCCACACCAGGACGGTATTGGAAATGTCATTTCTTGTAATGAGAGGCTGTTAACTCAAACTATGAATCAGACATACAGAAAAGTATTCTAAAATCTGTTTCAAAATAAGACAAAAGAAATGCTATAAAATAATTATAATAATTTCTTATAAATGGCCACTGGAGGAGCAGCTTTGTTACATAATGGCTGTTGTTACAGATTCTGACTCACAGTGACCTTGTGCAGGGTTTCCGAGGAGCAGCTGATGAGTTTTAACTGCCAACCTCATGGTTAGCAGTCCAGTGCTTACCCTATAGCACATGCCAGGACTCTATGTAGCATGGATAAAGGCCTATAAATTATACAGCACAACGTGACATCTCAGTGTTTCAAAAGCTGCAAGTCATAAGAGCTATAATTTATTTAGTTTTAAATTGCTAAACTAGAAATTACAAATATGATGATGTCAAATTTTAAATAAAAAGATAATTTATATCATTGACTCTTTGGAGAAAAAAAGCACAGCATAAGTTAATCTATTAAGGATCCAGTAGTAGATTCAGGAGCTCTGGTAGCGTAGTGGTTACAAATCGGGCTGTGAACCTCAGGGTCAGCAGTTCGAAACTACCAGCTGTTCTGCAGGAGAAAGATGAGGCTTTCTGCTCCCATAAAGATTTACAGCCTCGGAAACTCTGTACAGGGTCGCTATGAGTCAGAACCGACTCCATGGCACATTACCACATTACCAGTAGATTCAGATGTGACAACAAACACAGCTTTCCAATTTCTATGCTACCAACTTAGCCAAGGAAAAGAACAAAAGCATTCAGTGGCCCAAATTTCAACCAAGCAGTCGATAGGTACATAGGAGTGACAATACCAGTAAGGTATGCTCACCATGGAATGGTCAGTCATTCAACATTAACATTTATCTAAGGACAAAGTTGAGACTGGATGGAAGGGTAGATAGAATGCAAACAGTACCACAGGGAGGAAGCCGGATACTTGTTATGTGGAGGGAATTTCAATCATTGAGACTTAACAAAAATCCTCACCACTGGACCAATAAATGACATTCTTATCAACAGAGAAAAGACTGAAGTTGTCAAGGACTTCATTCTTCTTGGATCAACTACCAACACTCACGGAAGCAGCACTCAAGAAATCAAATGACGTATTGCATTAGGCAAATCTGCTGCACGAAACCTTTTTCAAGTGTTGAAGAACAAAGATGTCAGCTTGAAGACTAAGGTGTGCCTGACCCAAGCCATGGTATTTTCAATAACCTCATATGCATGTGAAAGCTGGACAGTGATTAAGCAAGACCATAGAAGAATTGATGCTTTTGAGTTACGGTGTTGGAGGAGAATACTGAAAGTGCCATGGGCTGCCAAAAGAACCAACAGATGTGTGTTGGAAGAAGTGCAGCCAGAATGCTGCTTGGAGGCCAGGATGGCCAAACGTCGTCTCATACTTCAGACATATTGTCAGGAGGGACTAGCTGCTGGAGAAGCATATCAAGTTTGATAAGATGGAGGGTCAGGGAAAAATAGGAAGACCCCTAGCGAGACGGATTGGTCAAGTGGCAGCATCAATAGGCTCAAGCGTGGCAACAATCGTGAGGTTGGCCCAGGATCGGGCAGTGTTTCGTTCTGCTGTGCATGGGATCACTATGAGTCGGTACCGACTCGAAGGCACCTAACAACAACAAATGATTTGTTGAATAGCAGTTTCTCACACTTACAAAGTCCTGGTGAAAAAAAAAAAAGGCACACTAAAGTTCAGGTAAAAAGGCCAATTTTCATCATTGTAACAGATTGAGCGGGTTTTAGGTACAGTGGCTGGCCTCTGGTTTGTCATTTATCCAATAACTAACACTTCTACATACTCACCATAAAACCTAGAATCACTTTTTGTAATAAAATACTAAAATATGCTTAAAGTTCTATTGAGACCCTCAGCCTCTTATCCATCTGCAAGTTCAGGGTTTTGTTTTTGTTTTGTTTTTTAAACAGCAATACAAGAAACCTTAAATCCTCTGGGGAAGTAGACAATGTAAAAGGTAAAAAGGGAGGAACAAGCTATTATAGAAACACAAATAGAACAACTCAGGGAAAAATGGAAGTTATTAATAAATATAGTGGTTCACATCCCCACACACTTTAACCTCCTTTTCCAATAATTAGTTAGTGCCCATCCCAGACCCGAACATTGTAGTCAGCTTTCTGGAACCACGACATTTCCTCCCTTCATGGGCTATGTGAAGGGTGCACTGCATGCCAACCGCACATCCCACCTCATACACAAGTACACACCCAGTGAGTGCTCCACAAGTTCCCAATGGGCGCACAGAAACCAGTCTACTGAAAGCTACACTGAGTAGCTGTATCTACAGAGACAACATTTCCATCTGGGAGCACACATCGCCTGCCTGTGAGAAAATCTACACAGTTGGGCTTCTCTTAAAACACTACGCTCCAGTGTGGTCATAGTAGAAACAGTGGTGACCGAACGTAGCGTTCACTGTCCACCTGCTTCCAGGCCTTAATTGACATGAACACCACAGACGAGTTCCCAAGAGTCTGCTACAACATACTCAGCTGTGAGTTATGTACTGACAAACTCAGAGCATAAAATACAGAGCCGTCACTGTTTTCATCCCTTCAAAACTCAAGTCCCTCAAGAATAAATACTCCAACACGACTAGAGAGTGACTCCAATACGACTCCACCCTCTTCACCTACAAAGCTGAGAAAAAAGGGAGTTTCAAAACTATGTCCATCAGATTCAAAGGCAGTGTATGTACAGTGTCCAGTGGTCCTAACTTCTTGCCCCTTTAAGGTTACACATTACTAAATACAGGTATGGCGTGCATGCCAAATGCCATATATAACATTCATTACAAAAGCTTGTTCCCAAATGTTTACAACTGATACATTGATACCTTAAATCTTACCTAATGCAACCGTGTTTGAAATGTAAATTAAAACCTTGCCAAGCCTGATACCCTATCTCCAACAAACGTTTGCAGTAGTGATTAAATAATAATTCTTCAATTCACATCAGAATACTTCAACAAGAAAACATGTAAAAGCATTTATTTGTATTTATTTGTATAGATTCATTTTTTAAGTTTATAAGGAACATCTCATCTACATTAGGCTCCCTATAAAAATGCAAATTAAGTACAGCTGAACTATTTGAGGGTTGACCTGATACCCTACAATAAAACTACTACTTTTACCAACATACACCCCAAACACCATACACACTATTTATTGGTGGAAATGCTTTCCGAGTTGCTTTGTCAAATTTTAAATTCAAATACTTCCTTTTAGGTTTGTTTTTTTAAAACAAACAAAAAAAAAACACTAGGTGATTTCTCATTATTTAAAGATAATATCCCCAAAGAAATTCAGGCTACAATCAGCAGCAGCTTAATCTCATCATTTATATCCTTTGCTAAGTAGGAATTTTTTTTTATGTTTCAACTCGGACACAGATGTCTCTGTTCTGTGTCATTACCAGAAAGCAACAGGCTACAGAAATCTCAATTCTCTGCAAGCAGTAACTGCCTGCTCACAAAACCAAGCAGCCAGGTAAAACCTTCCAGGAGGTGTCTGGACTCTGAAATGGAGACATGTACAAATGAAATAGACTTAAGCCAGGACTGTATCACTCCTAGAAATTAAGCCCTAAAATAATAACAAATAGCTGAAATCTAGACAGCTCTCTCCCAAATCTTAACCTAAAATACAACAAACAAAAATAACTCTTAACAACAACAAGAAGCACATTCCATGCCCATTTCCAAGTTAACACAATAATGTCTTAATGTCTTACTGGTAAGCTTGATGGTCTCTCTTGTTGTATTAAGTTCAAGTCTTCGTGGTTCGGTTTCCCGGGGGCCAGAGGAGGTTGAGACCTAGTTCCATAGCCTTCCTGAGACATGTCCTGAATAAACACAAATACAGAAGCACGCAGTCAATACCTCAATGAGTGAGAAGCTTCTTCAGTACCCAACCTTATCACAACCAACTAACATATTAAGTAGACACACACTCTTTTAGCTATCATTTCCTAAACGTTTCATCAAAAGCATTAACAAAAGATAAAACAGTGAATTATCAATAACAAAATGTATCTGTTATTAACAGAGGCATCCTAAGACCATGCCCAGTACATACCATATGTGAGTTTAGCAGGAAAATGACCAGTCCATAAAAGGTGATGTCTGACCATAGCCAAACTCTCCTTTTTAACGGAAGAAACCCAAAGCTCATTGTATTACCAAATTCTGATTTTGGTTGAATGGTCTTTAATATTACCTCCAAAAAACAAAAACTTTATCATCAACTGACTTTTAATATGCTTTCTCAGTAACCCACGAAACAACAGAAGTAGTTATGAAGCTCAGTTTCCTAGGCTTTCTGTTGGTATGCTTCTTAAGCACTGTCTGTATACAGGGATCTGTATAGGGTTTCCAAGGAGCACCTGGTGAGCCTGAACTGCCGACCTTGTGGTTCAAATCGAGCTTGCAGTCCAGCGCATTAACCCACAGCGCCACACCAGGACTCTATTAAAAATACATACGTGCCAAGGGCTCCATATGCCCACATGGTACCATGTTCAGAGAACAATAAAGAATAAAAGCCAGTGGTGAACAAACACCCCAAACATATGCTGAGGGGCAGGACACTGATCATTAACAGGGTATTCTGACATCTTGTGGAACACTTTTCCTGGAAATATTCTGTGTTTTCACAATTATGCTAAAATAATATTACATGATTCCAATGCTACACTGCACTGAGCATTCTGTCTCCTGGCAAGTTACCTGCTCAATGCAGCTAGCTCACTGGTTCCCTGCAAATGCTCTGCTATGCTACCCTAAGCAGCAGCACAGAATGTGGAACGCATATTACATAGGCTAACTGGCATGGAAAGTTGAAGGACCAGTTTCTGATTGTAGAGAAGAAAATAAAAAAGAGAGTAGAAAATACCACACACTAGAAAAGACAATTTCTTGCCTTAGTCCCTTGTTCAAATGAGTGTGGGGATGACACAAACGTTATATGCAAGTTCTCCTCCTTCTTGTAAGTCCCTAAACAGCTTACTTGCAAAACGAATGTGGAGTAGTTGGAACCCTATAAAAAGCTTCTGCTGCCCCACCCCTTTCTAACACAGAACACACTGCAAAGGCTTCTGCTGCTGACGCAGGGAAACTTCGGACCAGGAGGTGGTGCTGCCAAGCACAAGGGCCTCACAACTAGCTCGAGTCAGCCCAGCGAGCCTGGGCTGGAGGGAGAAGGGAAGCCACAAGCCCAGAAGCCCTTTTTCCTTTAAATGAGAGCTCACCCTGAGAGGAAACACCTCAGAGCCACACTGAGTGCCCAGTACAGATTCTGCTGACAGACTGGCATCCCGGCTTACAGGATTTTCTAGGCAACAAAAAGAAGGGGAGGAGCCAAGGGGCCTTGAATGGGGTGCACCCAGTGGAGCAGTCAGTCAGCCTGAGGGGGCACAAAAGCTGAGGCTGGGCGATCTGACCACAGGCCCCCTGCCCCTGAATTTCCTCAGATTAACTGTAAGGACTCCAGGGCAAGGAGGGCACCAGGCCTCCATTCAGAGGCCTTCACTGTGGAACAAAACTCCCACAGAGGTGCCGGGCAGCTCCACAATGGGTAAACAGTTGAGCAGGCCGCCCCCCAGACGCACGGGTGTGCAGACTTCCTGGGAAGGGGGCAGGCAGGACACTTTTTGGGGGGAAAGTTTCTGTAGGGCCCAATGACTAGCAAGGCCTAGGCTTATTAGCCTTTTAAATTTGTTTCTATTTTCTCTGTTTTGAAAGTACTGAAGACCATTACAACCACAGTGAATACACATTTCAATTTTGCTGTGTCCCCTCTAGAATACACCAACACCAGGCTAACAGACTGAATGCCATTGAAGAATTTACTGTGACTTCACATTTCACTTCCTTTTCAAAGTTCAAAACAATTAGATTCCGCCCAAATCGCAAATCCTATTCCTAAACCTCGAGAGGCTTTCAACTACATTACAATAATGATCCCAATATTTGGATTTAACAGCCAAACAAAATTTAGTGAGAATCTCTGACCATGAACTTGTTCTGCTTCATTTTAAGTAGTCGGAACATCAGGGCGGATTTAACTGGGAGACCATATGGAAAATGCCACAATTCCAACCTACAACATCGTCTCTATACAGCTTGCAGCGGGACTATAAAGTCTGTGTTGAGCTACTCCAATAAAGACATAAAGTTACATCCCATAACCATCGTGAGCCTTTTCACCGTCAGAGCCACATGTGCAATAGTGACCAGGAAGCACAGTTTTACATTTTACAACAGCACTACCTCCTCTGGTTATAAAGAAAGTATAATCCATGAGTTACTACTATGTAAGGAGTCCTGTGGTGGTGCTGCGGATCAAGGCGTTGGGCTGCAAAGTCAGTTTGAACTGTAAGGTCAGAGGTTCAAGCTCATCAGTCACTCCTTGGAAACCCTATACAAGGTCGCTATACGTCAGAACCGACTTGCCGGCACTTAACAAAAACAGCTATGATGTCAAGGAGCTCTGGTAGTGTAGTGGTTACGAGTCCAGCTGCTAACCTCAAGGTCAGCAGTTCAAAACTACCAGCTGCTCCATGGGAGAAAGATGAGGCTTTCTGCTCCCGTAAAGATTTACAGCCTCAGAAACCCTGTGCAGGGTCACTGTAGGCTAGAACTGACCGACTCCACAGGACACTACCACTACTGTGTAAATGAGTACGCATCAGCAACAGGTGTAGTTTTTGGAGACACTTACATAAAATTGTGTTCTTTTAAAAGAAACAAGCCGGAGAGAATGTGGTTTACCCTTTCAGAATTCTTTATCAGTACTATTTCTCTTCATCTCACCCACAAATGTTGTACCCTGACAAGAGAATGTGGTTTGCCCTGTCAGAAGGCCTCATCTTTATCAGTATTATTTCTCTTCATCTCACCCACAAATGTTGTGCCACAACCTTGCTTGATGTTATGAGTCAAAGGTGAGAGAGTCACGAAGTAACACAAGTGGGGCAGTGCCTGGAGATGTTCGTTTGAAAAGTTTGCACTGAGATATTCCTTAAACAAATACAGCAGATGCTCACAGAATGGCTCCTAACTACTACTCCCTTTGCTGGGCACTGCCACATGCCACAGTGTGAAATATGACCAAGAAGACAGTACCAGTGTCCCATTTACATTTTCAGAACGGCTAAGATCACAACGATCAGAAGGATCTTAGTAAAAAGACCAAGAGTACAAATGCTTGTTTGCCTTTATTACAACATGAGTTAAATAATGGCAGCAGATAATTAAAACATTAAGGACTTCTGAAAACATGCTACAAAGTGAAAACATTCCCATGGTATAAATTCAAAGATGAAAAGAGATAAACAAAGAAAAAGCTGAGATGGTCTCCCTCCCTGGGTCCCTTCACAAGGTTACTACTGCTAACAGTGTGTAAGTTCTTTATCTTTTAAACTTACCTGGAAAACAGTTTCGGTAAATTGTTTCTATGTTTGGTTTGGTTTGTCTCTTACCACTATTATACCTTAGAGTCCATCCTGTGTCTGCACTTAAGTACCTACCTGAGTCTTCTTGGTGTGGCTACGAAGTTCATTACTTGGCTGTGCGTTCACTTTTTACCCAGTTCCCTCCTGCTAGACTGAGATTGTTCCTAATCTCCTGCTACGGATACAGCATTATAGTTACCATCCCTGACCACCTATGTGGATGTGAAATATTTCTGTAGCATCAAGCACCACAAGTGGAATTTCGGTCACCAAAGCCCGGTACATGTAAACTTGTGATTGTTGTTAAGTGCCGTGGAGTCGGTTCCAACTCACAGTGACCCTGCACAGGGTTTCCGAGGCTGAAAATCTTTACGAAGCAGAAAGCCTCATCTTTCTCCCGCGGAACAGCTGGTAGTTTCGAACTGCCAACCTTGAGATTAGCAGCCCAATTTGTAACCACTGTTGTGACTGTTGTTGTTAAGTGTTGTCGAGTCGATTCCGACCCATAGTGACCCTGTATAGGGTTTCTAAGAGCAGCTGGTGAGCTTGAACTGCCTACCTTGCAGTTCAAACGGCTTTGCAATGTGGCGCATTAACCCACAGTGCCACACCAGGACTCCACTGTTATGACAGAAAACAAAGTGTTCTGAGTAAGGCAGTATCGATTTACATACACTCTCAGCCAGACATTTGTAACAGAACAAGCTTCACGAAAAGATGTGTATGCTAGCTAACACCACAGTACCACTGACCACACGAAAAAGCAGAAAATCTAGAGTGAGGGAGGACTGGATAGACAGCAACAAGAATACAAATAAATAAATAATGCAAAAGCACATGGAATATAAATTGAAGGAAGACGGAAGCACAGACGAGGAAGAACACCACCGTGCCTGACAGAGTAAAAGGCGGTGGGCCCAAGGAGGGGCTTGGTGAGAGGCAGCAGTCCAGAAGCGACCAAAACATGATGTCTTCTTAAAACAGAATCCCCCTACCAGAGAGCTCACATCTGAGTTACAGGGACCACGTGGCTGCTAGATCCAGAACTTGTGATGATCCCCATGCTATTTACGAAGCTGTTTCCAACACCCGTGTAAAGTAAGAAATGCCAGGGAGACAGTGAGGCTGCCTGAGCATGATTACTGCAATGTGCCGAAGGCAGGCAATGAGGATTTGAGGCATTTGATAAATCCTGCCATATACGCCATTGAAAAAGTCATCACTGAGAACCCTATAGGGATCGCCACTGGTTGTCACCATTTCTAACTAAGGATGGGAACGTGAAGATGGTCTTGGCACATGAGGCATGGTAGTGGGAGGGAAGAAGGCGGGGTTCGTCCCCACAGAGAAGCCAAGCTGGACAAGTGACCTATGTGCTGACTTGACTCTCT